GTCTGCCTCTCTGGTGTATGGCAATTGGTACTGGTTCTTACCTGGATTTTGGTGTTTTATAGAGTGTGATTGTAGCTTGACTATATTACAGCCATTGCTGTCTCTTCTTGGATAATATAGGGAGAGAAAGAGTCCCTCAAAGGTCGAAGGGGGAGCATAGAACAGCAAAACAGCAACATCAAAAACAACAACAACAACAACTAGATTGGACACTGTAGTCTATAATTGCAGAAAAAGGGAGAGGAGGGAGGGAAGAAAAAATTTTTTAAATCTGTAGCCTAATACGAGTCTGACTTTAATGTCCTCTTTCAGCTTCTTGCCTTCAAAGCTGTCTGATAGATTTCAAGATGCCACTGTTGGTTGTTACACTGTACCTCAGGATTTAATTTAATGTTTGGCCTGTTTTGTTTTTAAACTCTCTTTCCCTCTCCACACCCCTGTCCTGGCCTTTTCTGTTTTAAAAACAAACAAACAAAAAACAAAAACAGTTCAGAGCCAGAACTTGGGCTGAGAGTATCTGTGTACATGCATGGCAGAAGAACCCACCAGTGGTGAGGGTGGGGGGTGTCCTCTTGCTCAGACACCCCTCTAGTCACTAGAGTGGAGGTACACAAACAGTGGGGGGCCAATGAACAGATACCAAAAAAAAAAAATAATAATAATATCAGAACAAAGCAAAACTGACCAAGTGTATTGTCCACCTTTGCTCCAAGGTTCCTGCAGCATTATTCCATGGTGGGTCTGCTCCCCTGTTTGGTCTTGCCGTTTGGGTCTAACCCAAGTTGTTGGCTCTTGACCGCCGAGCCCGGCAGATTCAAAAGTACGCAATTTCTTACTTCTTCTACAAGTTCCACTACTACAAGCCTTCAAACTTTAAAAATATTCCTATCTATGTGGTTCCAAGTTTTGGAGCTCTGCCCTGAATCTGCTTTGCCTGGTATTCTGTGGTATTGCTGCTGGCGAACCTCACTGCACCTCTACCCTGCCTCCCAATTCCCCAAATTTACCACACAAAAATATATCCCTAATTCTGTACTCCAAGTTGCCCTTCCATTCTTTGAAATCTTGAAATTTATCTTCCACTGAGCTGCATGATTTTTGTTTTTTATAATTTCTCTTTCTAGTTATAGGTTGTAAATTTTCCTCTGCTGAGTCTTACAGCTGACTATTTTTCAATATATTTATAGGACTCAGGGAGAGAAAAAAAACAAAAAAGAAATTCCTTTATTTGAAAATTCTGACATTTATTAGCATAATAAAACTCTCAAGATGAAATTGCAGTTTTCCAGACAGTAATTTCATTTGCAAGGCAACTTACATGGAATTTATTTTAAAGCCAGGTAAAACCTACAATAAATATATGAGACATGTAGACAGTGTAGGCCCCAAAGAAAATGAAATAAATGTGTTAAGGATGGGAAACTTGACTGTTGTCTCCCACATATTGATTAGGGGTGACAAGAACAACAGCCCAGGAATTCATCTCTCAACTCATCTTGGTCTGCTTTCAAAGTTGTTTGCTAGTTCTTAGGAAAAGAAGTTTCTTCTAATACCTTGAAAATCAACACATCCTATCCTCCTGACCCATTACTGGTAAGTATGAAGTGGTTGCTGCTGTTATTGTGAAGGTTTTTAGCAATACCTTTCATCTCTACAGAACTTTCTTAGTTATCATTCAACTGGCCTGCCAGAGCACCTAGTGAGGACCTTACAGAAGATTCTCTCCTTTTGCGTCTTCATGCTGATGCCTCTTCCTCAAGGTGCATTCTGAGTGTCCACATAAGTGTCATGTAGTGAGGATAAACTACTTGAACAAAGTCACATAGAAAGTTACAGAGCCAAAGCTAAAATCTGATTCCTCTGAGTCTTAAAATCTAAGAGGATTTTAGTAATAATCAGTTATAGCTTTAAAGCACTTTAGAGTTCAAAAAGCAGGTGATCTCACTTTAGTCACTCATATCCCCCATAAAACAGACAGAGATGAGGAAAGTTATAGAGTCAAGTTGCAAATTGTTACTGTTGAATATATTTGTATGGTGGGCTCCCCACAAGACAGAGCCTGAAACCAAAGTGTATTTGTTGGTACTTTCTTGAACAAGCAGTTTTAAAGACAGAAAACAAGGAGTGAGTCCAAAAAGGAGAGAGAGTTAACAGGAAGGTTGTTACTGAGCTGGACACTGCTTGGTTTCGTCATGAGTGCTTGTTGATCTCATAGGTCTTAATGAAGAACCGTCCATCAGGACAATCCCTCAAGGAAGAGGGAGAACAGATATGCCAGCCTCTATCTCCCACTGACCAAAGTTTCACTGCATGGCGAGTTAACATCCCAGCTCTTCTGCAGGAATGTTGAGCAACTTCATAGTACATTCTCAATATGGTGGGGATTGGGAGTCCTGGTGTGGCGCTGTGGGCTAATGAGTCAGATTGCAAAGTCATTTGAACTGCAAGGTCAGTGGTTCAAGTTCACCAGCTGCTCTTTGGAAACCCTATACAAGTCGTTATGGGTTAGAATCAACTCAACAGCACTTAACAATAACAATAACAACATACAGACCCCATAAAAAACTGTCACCATGGTGACAACCGTAGTGAAACATGTGACGAAAGATCCAAAGAACAAGAGACAAAATGGGGCAGAAGTTTAAAAGAACTATCAAGTAAGGTAGACAAGTTCTTCGAAATCTACAGAATCCATTCATCCTTTATTTCTTGACAAATGTAATATTCTCAAAAAGCATAATAATGCTAGTAAGTTCCAAGGTGGGGATTTGAAACTAAGTCTTCTTAGCTTGATACCCTGTAATCTTCCATAATAAAATGCTGTCTTGATGCATATTATACATATATCCATAAATATAGAACATGAAGATAAATAAGCACCATCCCTGAGGATTACTAGGGCAATTCTCTTCTTCCTAATATATTCATGTGAATTAGACTGCAGACTCAAAATAAAAAGGACAATGAGGGCAGAGGTAATCATGAATAACTTGCATTAAGTGGGCTGCATCTTAGAGAGTAATGGTTTTATCAGGTGGTTATGAACTCAGCTGCTGTAAAAGGTCAGTGATTTGAACCCACCAGCAGCTTCATAGGAGAAAAGATCTAGTGATATGCTTCCGTAAAGATTTACACCTTTGGAAATCACATGGCACAATTCTACCCTCTCCTGTAGGGTCTCTATGAGTCAGAATTGACTCCACAACACACAACAACAACAATGGCAACTGGTCTGGTGAAAGTAGTAGTTCAATTGTAGAAATTCTGCCTTCCATGAAGAAGACTGGGTGGGGTTCAATTCCTGGCTAATACACCTCATGCACACCTGGGGGATCTGTGATGCTAAACGGCTTTCAGCAGAGCTTCCAGGTCAAGACAGGCTAGGAAGAACGTTCTGGTGATCTCCTGCTGAAAATCAGCCAATACAAACACTCTGGATCACAGTGGTCAGATCCCCAGCTGATCATGGGATAGAGCAGGACCAGGCAGGTTTTGTTCTGTTGTGCATGCATGGGGTCCCCATGAGTTGAAGTCAGCTTGACAGCAGCTAACAGCAATAGAAACCACTCTTAGGTTTATAATTCATCACAGGTCTTGGTACATCTGTAGAAATGCATGAACCCACTGGCTCATTATCATAAAACCAGGACCAAGATATGATTCTTAGGCAGTGGGGTAGTGGCCGGAGGTGAGGAAGGAAGGTGGACCCATATCAGTCACATGTCCTGAGAGCTTATCTGAGAAGTCTTTGGTATTTCCAATGTGATAATATAAATGAGTCCTAGGAGCTCTGGTAGCATAGTGGTTACAAATCGGGCTGCGAACCGCAAAGTCAGCAGTTTGAAACTACCAGCTGTTTTGCGGGAGAAAGATGAGGCTTTCTGCTCCCGTAAAGATTTACAGCCTCAGAAACCCTGTTCAGGGTGCTTTGAGTCAGAACCGACTCCACGGCACATAACAACAACAACAACAGTGTGGCGCTGTAGGATAAGCATTCAAACACAAGGTAGGTTTGAACCACAAGGTCAGCAGCTCAAGTGCACCAGTCACTCCCCAGAAACCTTATATAGGGTTGCTATGAGTCAGAAATGACCCAACGGCACTTAATAATAACAGTATTAATGTGAGTAACATGAATATGCTCTAAAGATGCAGTATTTATGTCTTCTAATAAAGCCTTGTTATTATTACTCCTGGTGTAGCACTGTAGGATAAGCACTGTATCACAAGGTCAGTGGTTCAAATCCACCAGCTGCTCCTTGGAAACCCTATACAGGGTCACTATGAGCCGGAACTGAATCACCAGCACTTAAAAACAACAGTAAAGCCTTAATGATATTTACATCATTTTTTAAGTCTTTATAAAATTGACAGGAAACCAAGAGGTCAGCAGTTCAAATGCACCAGCTGCTCCTTGGAAACCCTGGACAGTTGCTATGAGTCAAAACTAACTCCACGGCACTTAACAACAACAACGTATAATCTCTATAGTTTTATAAACAATTACATGTAGCAGGTAATTTATTAGGAAACATTGTTGACTGATAATGGAAAACTTGCAGAAGTACATTCATTCAACAAACATCTATTGAATGTCTATCATCTGTTCAATTCAGAGTTAGGCACTGATTTATTTAGGGTTATGAAACATGATTCATGTGTTGTAGGAGCTCAGTTTAGAGATGTTATGTCAAATAAGCTTCATCTTCTGAGACCACATATAATCTCCTCATGAAAGAGATGCATCATCAATTAGTAATTTCTGTCCTGGGCATTAGGATCAGAACAGGTTCCGGCAGAACTGGAGCGTCCAGACTGAAATAGACTAGGAAGCAGCTCATTGGGCATATGTTTAATATCCCTTGAGACATACTAATATATTTGTTCCTCTGGATGTTAGTTGTTTTCCCGAATGCCATAGAACTTGAGCAGGAAGTTCTTGAATTTAGTTCAAAAAAGAATGTCCAAAGAAGTCCATCTGATAAAAAGAAAAAAGTCATTCAAACAAAAGATGGTAGTCTGGTGGGTTTTCCCTCTGTCCACAGGGTTCCTGAAGCAACTCTCCCCCTGAAATAGTGATAATTTCCTCCTATAAAAGAAAAAAAGAAAGAAAGAGAAAGATTCACTTATAATCAGGAAGTGGGAATATCCACCAGAAAGTGACTGCCTTGAGATACATATAAAGATGGATAACGCTCATCACCTCACCCAAATTTACAGAAATGTCTAAAAAGTTCTTTTAAAACAGAAATAAATCCATGAATGTGCCAGAAAATAAAAAAGAAGTCTATCAACAAAGCAAAAAACAGAAGAAAACAAACAGAAGACTGGGTTAGCCTGTAGCAGGAACAGTGTGGAGCCAGGATCAGTGGGGCAGGCTAGAAGCCCCGTCTCCAAGAGGAGATCGCCTCAAGCAGACCAGAGGCACACAGCTCTGTGGGAAGCTAAAGAGACCCAGAGTTCAGCCCACACCCACATCCAAGAGATGAACTATATACACCGCAAATTCCAACGCCTGCCTACAACCTGAAGAGATTGGATTTGGGGAACTGAAAGTATCCACTGACAATTAAACAGGAACTTTAAAAGTTCAATGATGATCTCATAACCCAAAATGTATAAGTATATGGGGGGGGGGGGAAACAAACATAACCACAAAAGAAAAATGCCAAACTCAACAATAGAACTGACTATCAGAAAAATATCAAGTTTATAAAGCAAACAAAAAGAGGCTTTAAGAGATACGTATTCACCTTCTCTGCAAGATAAGATTATATCTATGAAACAAGAATGGGCTGTTATAAAAAAAGAACCAATTAAAGAACATGGAAATGAAAAACATGACCATTTGAATTAAAAAGAAAAAGTTTCAACAGAAGAGCTGATTAGCAGAATGGACCTAACTCAAGAACTACTTAGTAAGTTGGAAGAATTGACACATCAGTAAGAAGGAGACAGCTAAATAGAAAAATGGACAGACACTTGCACAGGAGAAGAAATCAAAGTGGCTATTAAACATATGAAAAGATGCTCAGCATCGGTGGCACTCTGATCAATGCAAGCTAAACAAGAGTCTGCCTATGTAATGGGAAAAAATTCAATGATAATCCCAAACGTATGCAGTAGGGTGAGGAAACAGTATCATACAATTTTGTCAGGAGAATGAATTGGCACTACATTTTGGAGGACAATCTGACAGGTCTTTTCAAATTAAAATGTGTATACTCTTTTATCCCGCTGGATCCTAGTGTAGCACTGTAGGATAAGCACTGGACTGCAACATGGTCAGTTTGAACCTCAAGTTTGATCATTCCAACTCACCAGCCACTCCTTGGAAACCCTATGCAGGGTTGCTGTGAATTGGAGCAGCCTCGATGGCACTTAACAACAACTCTTCAATCTAGCAAGTCTAGTTTCAGAGATGCATCCTAGAGAAATCCTTGCACGTTTGCCCAGGGTAATGTGTTCAAGGACGTCTCTGTAGCACTGTGACCAGGAAACACTAGGAGCTACATAATAAACCAAGCTCAGTGCCATGAAATCATTTCCAATCATAGCAACCCTAGTAATCTTCAAGAGGAGAATAATTGGCTAAACAGTAAGATGTATTTATACCAGAAATGTCACAGAGCATTGACAAGAATGTGGTACATATGCTGACATGGAAAGATTTTGTAGCCATATTTTCATGAAAGTCAGCATTTCCTGATAACATGTGTCAGAAATATTATTTCAGCACTTTACATGTGATATTTTATGTAAACCTCTAAGTGACCCTAAGGGGTGAGAGCAATTATAAAACCCACCTTACTGAGGCACAAAAAGTTTGAGTAGTTGTACAAAGTCTCATATAATAATGAAGTTAAAATCTAAAACATGGCAGCCTGATGCCAGGAATCATTATTTTTAAGATTACATTCTTTGATTTATTATTTTTTAAAACCCATTTGTTGATTAACATGTAAAGAATTCAAAATTATCAAAACTATGTATTTCCTTATGTACATAAGTTTCTATGTTAATACTCAAGAAGATACTTAAGTAGGTACATGGCAAGCTGATAATCCAAAGTGGGTTATGCAAGTGAGCGTTGAGCTGCACAAAGCTTTCCATTTGAATGATTTGATTTTTCCTTAGTGTATAGTCATGAAGTACACATGTACTTAAAATTCTAATTGCTAAAAGCTTCTACCAGATCTCCACATGTGCATAAATGATACCCCACTAAGAGTGTTAGAAACTAAAATGGCAATCTCAAAAGTTTAGATTTGGGAGAGAATAAAGACCTTCAAAGATGTCTAGCCTTCTGATGCAGAAATCCTACTCAGAGAACCCCTGAAAGATGGATAATGATCTTTTGCTTGCACACATCCAGGGGCAAGGAGCACAGCACTGATCGAAGCAGCTTCTCTTGGGCAGGGAAAGCAAGCATCATTGTTTAGAGGGGGAAACAACAAAACAAAAAACAAGCTATAGAGCTAGATGGAGTCCCTGGATAGTTCAGTTAAAATGTTTAACTACTGACCAACCAAGTGGAGGTTTGAGAGTACCCAGAGGCCCTTTAGAAGAAAACCCTGGCAATCTATTTCCAAAAAATCAGCCATGGTAACCCTATGGAGCACAGTTCGACTCTGGCACACATGGAACTGCCTTTAGTAGGAATCAACTTAATGGCAACTGGTTTAATACTTTTACTTATAGGGCCACATAGCCTGAGGCTTACCTCCTGGTCCTAATCATTCTGAGCCACATAAATGTGAACAAGTTACTCAAGCTCCCTGGCCTATGAAATGGTACAAAGATGCCACCCTGTGTAGCTACCATGGAAATTAAATGAGATCATGGAATAAATGAGCAATTGGCCCAGTTCATAGCATAGAAAACTGAGTGGTGTGCCATGGAGTTGATTCTGACTCATCTTGACCCTATATAGGGTTTCTGAAGTTGTAAATCTTTATGGGAGCAGAAAGCCTCATCTTTCAGAGTGTCTGGTGGGCTAGAACTGCTGACCTTGCAGTTAGCAACTCAACCCATAACCCACTATGCTACCAAGGCTCCTGAATATTTACATAATTCCTCCCTTTCTCTATATTCTGATTGTCAGAAGGCTCTTCCCAAAACAAATAGAAGTTGCTCCAGTATTCTATGCTCATTGTCCAAGTAAATGGGTGAATTTCTATGTTCTTCACTTGAAAATTCAGATCAAGTGCTGTCCCCTAAAGTGCTGGGGACATCCATAGAGAAAAAGTACTACAAAGTCAAGAAAAGATGGAAATGTCCAGTGAGACAGTCAATTAATTCACAAATCTTTTCTACATACCTGTAAAGGTTGGGTACCTGTAAATGGACCCCTGAGCTACTACCATCTGTCTCTTGGAGTGTCTGGGGTCCTGCCCTTCTGGGCCACTGAGTTTTGCTTTTGGCATTCTCTTAGTTATGATTGGTACCAACAGCCACATTAACACAAAAGTTGTATCTTACAACATTGCTTGGAAGACACGTTTACCAATGTGGAGCCCAACAAATAACAAAAAGACCCTAGGAGATAAAAACTGTCCTCAACACATTACAATTACAGTATGTTGTTATGTGGATTACCTCACTTCATGCTCACAGGCTACGAACTGTGTCTTATTTATATCCATTTGCAAGGAGAAGAAATGGAAACTCAGTGAGATTAGGTAACCTACCCATGGCTACACATGTACTAAGTAAAAAAAAAAAAAATGGAGTTCCAACAAAAGATGTGGTAACCCCACTAATAGAAGAGCTTCTCTAAGTACGGGTTGCCTACTACACTTCAACAAGCTCTATGAAACTGCCAATGTGGCTAGAATGTCCTCAGGAGAAGCATTCTGGGTAATTAAGGGTGAGGTGTGGATTTGGGCAGAGGACAGATGAACTAGCCCCAAAGTGGTGACAGTAAGGAACACTCAAGGTGGGGCAAGGCCTAGGTACCAGTATAAGGGGTGCTCATGTGAGGCACAGGGTGAGCTAGCAAGAAGTATGGTGAACCCCAGAACTTGGTCAAGGCAACCCCTGGTCTCTAATGTCCCTACGTTCTTTAGCTCTGTGAGCCTGCGAGTCCGGGGACCACCTGCTTTCTCTTTATTGCCTATCTGTAAGCAACTCCAGCCTCTCTCTCTGGTTTTAGCTCTCCTCAGACCAAGTTCCTTCTGGTTTCAGCTCCCCTCAGATCAAGTTCATCTCTGACTAGCACCCCCAGGAGGGATACCTTGTGAAAATCAATGAGATCTGTGAGCGTGGCATGGCGATTGGGGTCCACTCCCAGGAAGCTATAAAAGTCCCCAGAAGCATCCACAAGAAAGTGCTTGAACCCTTGCTGCAGGCGATAGGAGAGGGTGTAACCCCAGATTTTTTCACTGATCCGGACCAGAAATGCTCCTTCAGTCATGTTCTCAAGCATATCTTCTGCATCTTCTCGGGTTATAATTCCTGATAGATATAAAAATAATAATAATAATAATAATTAAGATGAGCAGGTTCTGAAACTCTCCCACAATCCTCCCCACTCATTCCTGCTCCACAGTCAATGTGTACAGTCCCAGGGGCTGTCTAGCAACTTCCTTGTTCCACGGAGCGGTCACTTTGACTCAGAGCAGCCAATTGAGATCAGAGTTTCCACCAGAATAGAAATTTAGAAGCTTTCCTTCTACTTAGACCACACTGGTTGGTTATGGTGGTTATGTGCCGTGGAGTCGGAACTGACTCATAGCGACCCTGAACACAGTTTCTGAGGCTGTAAATCATTACGGGAGCAGAAAGCCTCATCTTTCTCCCGCAGAGCAGCTGGTAGTTTCGAACTGCTGACCTTAAGGTTCGCAGCCCAATTCGTAACCACTACACGACCAGACCACACTAATTTAGACTAATTTGGTAAGCAAGGAATTTGTTGTTGTTGTTAAGCACCCTCAAGTCAGTTTCAACTCACAGCGACCCTATATAGGGTTTAACAGGCTGTAAATCTTTGCAGGAGCAGAAAGCCTCCTCTTTCTCCTGTGGAGTGATAGGTAGGTTCGAACTACTGACATTGCAATGCAGCCCAATTTGTAATCCACTATACCACCA